ATGTTTTCGAAACCCGAATGTAATGAAATTCCATTTTTTCTGGATATGGACAGTGGTTAGCTAAATATACCTAATAAAAAATGCACAGGCATGCGTATTTACTAATGAACTTTTATAATTATGTTATTTACGAATGAAATATGTATACCAAGTTGGGCTTTTTGTACAACTGTATCAGGTATATGTTCAATCATGTGTTTGCATAGGTATACGTAAGTATGTGCATAAATCCTACCCATGTGTTTATATGTGTAAGTTAATGTATATAAACAATCTTACACAATTTCTATCCATGATACACGTTTCCCATTTCAGCAATTAAATTCTGGCTATGCAGTTAGATTACATACATAGGGTGAAAAAACAATGCCTCCCCGGCGGGGAATCGAACCCCGGTCTCCCGCGTGACAGGCGGGGATACTAACCACTATACTACCGAGGAATTGGTTTCTAAAAGTCACATGTTTTCGAAACCCGAATGTAATGAAATTCCATTTTTTCTGGATATGGACAGTGGTTAGCTAAATATACCTAATAAAAAATGCACAGGCATGCGTATTTACTAATGAACTTTTATAATCATGTTATTTACGAATGAAATATGTATACCAAGTTGGGCTTTTTGTACAACTGTATCAGGTATATGTTCAATCATGTGTTTGCATAGGTATACGTAAGTATATGCATAAATCCTACCCATGTGTTTATATGTGTAAGTTAATGTATATAAACAATCTTACACAATTTCTATCCATGATACACGTTTCCCATTTCAGCAATTTAAATTCTGGCTATGCAGTTAGATTACATACATAGGGTGAAAAAACAATGCCTCCCCGGCGGGGAATCGAACCCCGGTCTCCCGCGTGACAGGCGGGGATACTAACCACTATACTACCGAGGAATTGGTTTCTAAAAGTCACATGTTTTCGAAACCCGAATGTAATGAAATTCCATTTTTCGGGATGTGGGCAGTGGTTAGCAAAAAAAAAAAACTAATAAAAAATGCACATGCATGCTTATTTACTAATGAACTTTCATAATTATGTTATTTACGAATGAAATATGTATACCAAGTTGGGCTTTTTGCACAACTGTATCAGGTATATGTTCAATCATGTGTTGCATAGGTATACGTAAGTATGTGCATAAATCCTACCCATGTGTTTATATGTGTAAGTTAATGTATATAAACAATCTCTTACACAATTACTATCCATGATACACGTTTCCCATTTCAGCAATTAAATTCTGGCTATGCAGTTCAGATTACATACACAGGGTGAAAAAATCAATTCCTCCCCGGCGGGGAATCGAACCCCGGTCTCCCGCGTGACAGGCGGGGATACTAACCACTATACTACCGAGGAATTGGTTTCTAAAAGTCACATGTTTTCGAAACCCGAATGTAATGAAATTCCATTTTTTCTGGATATGGACAGTGGTTAGCTAAATATACCTAATAAAAAATGCACAGGCATGCGTATTTACTAATGAACTTTTATAATCATGTTATTTACGAATGAAATATGTATACCAAGTTAAAAAAACTAATAAAAAATGCACATGCATGCTTATTTACTAATGAACTTTCATAATTATGTTATTTACGAATGAAATATGTATACCAAGTTGGGCTTTTTGCACAACTGTATCAGGTATATGTTCAATCATGTGTTTGCATAGGTATACGTAAGTATGTGCATAAATCCTACCCATGTGTTTATATGTGTAAGTTAATGTATATAAACAATCTCTTACACAATTACTATCCATGATACACGTTTCCCATTTCAGCAATTAAATTCTGGCTATGCAGTCAGATTACATACACAGGGTGAAAAAACAATGCCTCCCCGGCGGGGAATCGAACCCCGGTCTCCCGCGTGACAGGCGGGGATACTAACCACTATACTACCGAGGAATTGGTTTCTAATTCTACTATGAATTTCGAATTTCCATTGCTATAAAAAAGATAATATATATATATTACACCGGTTCACACTACAAAGCCTGCTCATCTACAGCATTGTGGCATTATTATTGAGCATTATGTAATAAGAGGGATGCATGCAAAATACTTATTACAATGCATAACATGGTGTTGGTTTAGGGTTATTGTCAGGTGTTCAAATTATAGCTTAAAAGTAAATCTCAATATTATCTTCATATACATAATGCGTTTTTTAAAATAATGAGGTTGTATTATTATGTGCGTGCATACATAACTGCGTATGATTTAAACCTTCATTCAGAAATAGAATTACATTACATTTGGGTTTCGAAAACCTGCTCTACATAGAAACCAATTCCTCGGTAGTATAGTGGTTAGTATCCCCGCCTGTCACGCGGGAGACCGGGGTTCGATTCCCCGCCGGGGAGGAATTGTTTTCAACACTAATCTTGTTATCCTGTAATCTTTTATTAGTCAGTATAGCCAGAATTGAAGTAGTATGTGAAACATAATACAGATAGAAATTACATTATAGATTACATACGACAAAAAATCTACATAGGCCTACACATACAGATAGATACTATGTATGCACACACCTAAATCTACCTCTCTAAACAAATACACATATACTTATGCAAGTTTTTTGTGATAATACTGCTATGCAGATTATTGTCTAATAGTAGGATTTCGAAACCTTTTGCATTTAGAAATCAGTTCAACAACAGTATAGAGGCCATTATCTCCCCCCTCCCCCTGTTATACACTGACTTTTACCCCAGCTTTATAATTTGATTACTGAGTGATAGCTAGAACCAAATTCAAGTGGAAAATGGGCAATTGAAGATGGAGGTTAAAGAGATTGCAATAATGAAAATTAACGTGCATGCAAAAGTAAGGAATAGGATTGCATCTAATACATTTTGTATAACCAATGGATATGTTTTTAGGGAAGGTAGTTGTCAGTGTCTCCATGTATCCTATGTTTTTTTCTTCTTCTTTCTTTTTCTTTCTTTCTTTTTCTTTTTTTTTCTCTTTTTTTATATTTTCAAATTATCTCAGCTCTAATCACGATTTTCTATAAATGCTGGCCATTGCTAAATTCATTTACAGATAGGGAGTAACGAATGCCGAGGAACTGTTTTCTAAATTAACAGGTTTTCGAAGCCTAAATGTAATTATGTTATGTACTCATCATGAGCCTCTATTGTAATAAATGAACTATGTATATCAATCAGATTGTGCTTTTTGCATAATTAGGGAATGTGCTTACTAAATGTGTACGGATGTTGGTATATACGTTCAATGTAGATAATGTTTTAAGCTATGATCGTTTTAATTTCAAATTATTGCCTAGCATTGATAAGCCCATCATAGTATGCCTATTTAATTTTCGAAAGAATAATTTATTTTTGTACATGTGTATTATTAATGAATTTCAGACACAAAAATTCACTTGGGTTTCGAAAACACGTGAAATTTAGAAACCAATTCCTCGGTAGTATAGTGGTTAGTATCCCCGCCTGTCACGCGGGAGACCGGGGTTCGATTCCCCGCCGGGGAGGCAATGTTTTTCTCATGTAATGAATTATAACACCCAAATCACATACACAAAAAGAGAAAGAAAATACACAGACCACTGTGAATTCTCATCCCAATTCTGTTTTCAGACTATTCAATAGCTGGCAGAAATTTAAGAACATACAGGAGAACTATGAAATATGGGAATTAGATATTTTTACTATCAATATTAAACTATACACACCTGCCTTCACAAGCAACTATACACATTCCACACATTCACACGTGAATCTACCAATTTTTGGATATTAAAATCAAAGAATCTGCAGCCATCACATTGCATTGCAGCTTTTACACAACTTGTCTGTCTTTTCTCAATTTGTCTTCAAGTCGCCCTTGAGAATGGTCGATCAAAGCTAACATAATCTTATGTGTTCTTGTATATGCACATGTGATTTATTAAGTTTTATTATTATTATTATTATTTTTTTTTTTACATTTGGCTTTCGAGTCTACAATATCTTTAAAATCAATGCCTTGGTAGTATAGTGGTCAGTATCTCTGCTTATCATGCAGAAGACTGGGGTTTGATTCCAGTGCCGTATAGGCTTTTTTTATGAAGAACTATTTAATAACCAGAATTTATTTGATAACTATGAATGGCGGATGGAAATTTAAGAGTAGATAATGTGCAATAGGTAAATAAATAAATAAATACACATGTGAAAAAACAATGCATGGACATTGCCCAGCACCTACCGATACACAATAATATGTAAACACATAAGCCTTTTGGGGATTCAAGGTTCTTTCAGGAATGACTGGTATTCAGATAATTGCTGAATATTAGGGGGTCCTTAAATTATGCAAGGATCTCGTCTTAGTATGTGTCGGATCCCTTCCTCGTTCTGCTTAAACTCTCCTTCCCTGGCTAATACGTTCCTCCTGTAATTGCTCTTCAGTATCCCCTGGTCCACTCAAATCAAGCATAAACCATATATCCTTCTCACACATTTTCACATATCTCTAGGCACTCCTCCAGTACCTATGTCCATCTCAAGTACTGGTTTCGCTGCCGTCTTTCCCTCTCACTCAAACAGCTTTCCCCTTCCTTTTGAATCTTACGCTATCCTCTTCGCTTTGCAACGCATGTCTTCCGTCTCATCTTTCTCCATCTTCACTGATTCACACGACTCAACATCACTCATACAATTCATACTCTTTCAACCCTATAGTTGGTAAAAAGACAGGATCAGTAGTTTCATCAGTCTACTCGGCAGAAAACATTTAAATTTTGCTCTATACTCAGCCATGTCGACAATGAAAAAGCAGATGCAATGGTACGATCTGCCGCCTTGTCCACCACCCAGCAACCCCGCTTTTCACATACCCCAGCCACCGACTACTACCCTCACTTCAAAACTTCCCTCTATAATCTCTCTGGTCAGGTCTGACCAACAATAAACTACAAACCATAAAACATTACATCTCTCCTTGGTCGGTACCACACCACCCGAACAGACGC